TATCGAAATGCTTATTATTTAACTCTTAAGTACTCAATGTAAAAAGATGACTTTTGAAAACTACTAAAAAGTTCCGTTTTTAGTTGTTTACACATAGGCCTATCGTCTTTTGCAGTGTTTATTTTACGTTTTGCTAATAATCTCTTCTTGTATAAAAAGTAACTAAACTACACAAGAACTAAATCATAACAATAAAACTGCATTTTTACATGTATCTCTAGAAATGAATCAATAAATTGTATAAAATTGTGCATTTAGTCATTTCAGCTTCATTAAATATGTAAATAACCTTAAATTTATTATTATTCATCCATCTATCTATTACATTTCCAATTAATCCAAAATAAAATGTAAATAAACACATAAACATACACAATATAGCTTCAAATAAATAGCACAAACTAATTTATAAATATCACAATTATGTAATTATCATACTATATTATTTTGGCGACACAGTGGCTCACATTGGTTAGCACTGTCGCCTCACAGCAAGAGGGTCGCTGGTTCGATTCCCTGCTTGGTCAGTTGGCATTTCTTTTTTGGCATTGAGTTTGCATGTTCTCCCTGTGTGGGCGTGGGTTTCCTCCGGGTGCTCTGGTTTTCCCCACAGTCCAAACACATGCGCTATAAGTGAATTGAATAAACTAAATTGGCCGTAGTGTATGTGTGTGAATGAGTGTGTATAGGTGTTTCCCAGTACTGGGTTGCAGCTAGAAGGGCATCCGCTGTGTAAAACATATGCTGAATAAGTTGGCGGTTCATTCCGCTGTGGCGACTGCTGATGAATAAATGAACTAAGCCAAAGGAAAATGAATGAATGATTTTATCTACTATCATTGTTATTTATTTTATTATTTGAACTATTTTGCCGCTTTCATGGAATTTCTAGTGATTTGTATGTAAATTGCTTTTATATATAAAAATAAAGCACTTCAAAAATAATACAAACACAATATTTTCAAGAAAACAAATCTTCATTTTATTCTCAGCTGTATTCTTCAAAAAAAGTTTTTCTTTTATTATTTTTTCATCTATGAGTATTGTTGTGCACTTTATTATTCAAAGTACTGCTGCTTTCATTTATTTGTATGTAAATTGCTTTAAAGGGCACATATGATGAAAATCTTTTTTTGTAAGCTGTTTGGACAGAACTGTGTGTAGGTATAGTATGTCCATAGTCATACTGGAGTGATAGAAACACAAGAAGCGTCTTTTTTTTCAAAATTTACTGACGTTAAAATAGGATCCAAATCCCAGTGATTTTAAGGCCTACTGCAACGTGACGTAAGAGTGCAGTTTTCTCCACCCACTGAATTGATTGACAGGCACCATGTTTCTATAATAGACCCTTTTCACATTTCCGGGTCTCTCAGTAGTGGAAGTCGTCATAGTAGGGAAAACGTAGAGCAGGAAGAGTATAACAAATATTTTGTTACAACCCTATTTTCTGAAATAATAAAAGTAAAACTCCATGATGATGCTATAAAAAAAAGGGAGACTGATGACGGCAGCCAGAGGAGAAAATAACGTCAAATTTGCTGTTCTGTCACATTACAATTGCCTTGCATAAGCGGTGATTAGTTTTTTTGTAATTTGAAGCAAAAATGATATAATACATTCATAAATACATATAAATGTTCATACGTTAAAAAAAAAAAAAAAAAAAGAAATATTAAAAACTTTCAAGAATTTAAGATGCAGATGACCGTTAAACGCGTCATAACAGGTTGTGAAAAGAGCCCATAGCATGTATACACATCCACAGAATATTTTTTGCAAACAAACTAGGATTAAAACATGCAAACGGCATTTGTGTGGGACTCATCATTGCAGAAAGGCTTGAATAAACTCCACCACAAATACATCAAAAAAACGTACTTAGTATTTTTGACTAATGAGCTGAATTTCAGCTTCATCTGTGTCTGTTTCTGTCACTGACTGCTGTTTATCTGATGTAATGCCTCATTCACACTAGAAGCATCAATAGATATTTCCATACACCTATTTCCATTTTGCATATGCGCATAAAAAACAGTTATGCGTATAAGTGAGTGGGGTAAACTTTTTATTCGATAATAAAAGATGCGCATAAACCATGATGGAATCATTTTTAACGCACAAATTTCAGTTTGCGTATTAAAAAAGGTCATGTGATTTTGTGATAAGAGATTATGTGATGGTGAAAATGTGTGTGAATGGACAAACCAGCAGGCTGAGCACATTGTAAAACATCTGAAATGTTGTTTTAGTCATTCTAAAACGCCTTAACCATTTCAGTATTAGTGTTATTATATTATTAATGATCTTTAGAATCAAGAGCATCGGTGCTCACCGTCTGACACCTTTAAACGCCACCGCGTTCACTGCATGTCAGGATTGCCTTTTGAGGCGCAAGTCTTTTATTAGATGAAGAAAAGCTTGATGCTGCTTCTCTTACTGCTGCAAATCCAGTTTTGACTGTTGATATTTGGCGCCAGTTAATCAGGAAGTTACGATTTTGTTCGCTTTGACTCTTTAGATGGAAACACTGCTTTATTTGCACATCTTTTTTTTTGCATAAAGGTCATTCGCATTTTTGGATGGAAAAATAGCTATTGTAGCGGCCTGTCGCTCTGAGTGGCAACCTGCTGCAAACACATGTCTGTGTACGTCTACAGCACGGAGAACACAACCGGCCTCTGAGCAAGCTGAGAGAGGATCACGTGAGCTCTCCTGGTGCTCCAATTGGCTGTCACTCAAGAAAGTCGCTCTTCATTTGCATAAACTTGAAGGATTCTCAACTTTGGCTCGATACGCCCACCTACTGTAGTTGCCAACAGGTGCTGTCGCTCTCGTAGACGGAGGTCGCCGGAAGTCGCTCACTCTCCTCTGAAATGAGCGGTTGCTTGTTGCTAGATTCGCTCATAGTGTGAATGAGGCTTAAGGCAGGAGAAAGCAGACGTCGGAATGGTGGGCGGGGAGAAGCAGCTCATTTGCATTTAAAGCCACAGACTACAAAAACAGCTACACTGTACTCAGACACTAAAATGGGCAGATTCTGGAGGCTATAATAAAGAATCTGAAGGGTATTTTAAGCTGAAACTTTACAAACACATTCCAGAGACACCAAAGGCTTGTCTTACATTTTGTTAAAGGGGTAAAATAGGTGCCCTTTAATGTATAAAAGCAATGTTAAAATATTTAAAATCACAATATTTACATAAGGAAAATGTACATTTAATCTTCTTTTAAGTGTACAGGTTTCCTGATGTGACCTCTACTTTTCGACGTGTTTCTACATCCCGTGTTAAAGTGTTTGTCATAACGTCCATATGGTTCCACCCACTGCTGCACAGATTGGACAACTGGATGCTTCTCATACACTCCGTCTTTCTCTCTCATTCTCTCTCTCTCTAGCATCAGTAAAATCAGCCAATCATTCCCATACTCTCCTTCTTTTGAAAAAAATCTCACTAACAAGCACAAGAAGAGATTTTCTCAGTCTTTAAACTTTTCTGTTTCTCCCTCAAGAGTCATTCTTAAACAAACGACCAGTCCATTTACACCAGAGCTGCAGGTAAGTGTGTTTATTCCCTAATATTTAATCTAATATGTGTGTCTTGTGCATGCATTTTCAAATAAATACTGTGATGCTTTGCAGAATTATGTTTGTGTGAGTTTTTGGATTATCATTTGTTTGATGCTATATGTATTGGTGTAGTGTATATGCATGTTTATTAATATTTGTGCTGCATATTGAGGTATAAGTTGGAGTCAGCAGTGCGTCTCAGGGGTATCGGTGTCACTGGCTTTCTGTGTCTCGTTTCACTGTAAATAGAGACAAAAATCAATGAATTGCTACTCAGCATTTCTCAAAATAATCCAAGGTTAAGCAGCATCATGTCACCTGCTGTGTGCGCTGAATGTGAACCTGGCTTTGCCTTTACACCTTATAATATATTGAAATGAATTCATCTACATTGCACTCATGATCTTGATCCGATGGCAAAGGTCATAACAGTGTGATTTGCATTTATGAGCATCACACACGGAAATAAATGTTCAAACTACTTGTTTAGAATAAGCTGAAACAACACATTTGGGTTTTATTTGGGACAACTTAATTATTTTGTGTTCAATCTGCTTAAATTTATTAAAACTAATGAACTTATCTGATTTGAGTTGGGACAACATGAAGGAATTGTGTGGACCCCTGCAGTTTTTACAGTGATTTACACAAATAAAATTTCTGCTACTTATTTAAACTGAGATTAATTAATAATTCTTCTAGTTTTTAGGACAGCTTAATTGTTTTATGTTTAATCTATTTACATTTTTAAAAACAATTTAGTAAATTAATCAATTTGTGCTGGGACAACATGAAGGAATTGTGTGGAACCCGGCATTTTTTTACAATGAAGGCTGAACAATTCTGGATTATTATTAATAATAATAATTAGTTCTGGGCAATGATAAATTGCATTCAAAATAAAAGTTTGTTTTTTCATAATATATGTGTATTATATGTATTTATTAGGTAAATGTAATTTACTTAAATGTAATAAACTTATACAAAAACAATATTTACATAATCATATATTTATTTCTAATAAATTTTCTCAAATATATGCACGTGCATATTTAAATGTACATAATAATGTATTGTTTTATGTAAATACAAAAGCATACATTATATACTAACCAAATACAAACCTTTATTTTGGATTTGATTAATCACTAAAGTGTGATTGAAGATTAAATTTGGGGCACTAAGACACTCAGCCTGCGGCCTTGTGCCATCGCATGCCTCCCACCAGTGCCTATATACAGCCATATCACACTGCTACTCGTGTGATACTGCTCATATATATAAATTGTCAAAAGTTTGCTTGTCAGAATCACCATATTTTTGGAAAGAGATTGCATGAGTGTAAACTAAATCAATCTTTGAAGATAAATCATCAAGTTAAACACACAATACTTATCAATTCTGCCCTCTTCTCAATGTCGTCTCCAGAATGCATGAAGATGATGCTCCACTGGCTGCTTCTTCATCTTCTCCGGCGTCTCTAGCACAGAAAGAATCAAAAATACCTGGATCTACGATTTCCTCACCCACAGCTGTTCATCCTCAAACTACGACCGCAGACAGTCTGGTCCACAGCATCAGAAGCAAGTTTCTAAATGAGCTTCACAAAGTCCCATGTGAGTCCACAATATTTCAGTCTTTTTAGGGCCTATAGTTTGGTTTTTGCAATTTAAGACTTGACAAGACCACGCAGACACCCTGGTTTGCTGTCATTTCTATGTTTCTCTAGTACCGTCCTGGGCTACAGCAGCGCTCGGCTTCATCACAGTCTTCATCGTCCTCAGCTGCTGTCTGTGCATCTTCAGGAAGATGATCTTTAAGAAGAAAAAGGAAAAAGGAGGGAAAGAGAAAAATGAAAAGAACGACATCAACATGTCTAACGTGAAAGAGGAGGGAACAAAACAGGTACTCATTAATATTAGATGAATCTGTTTCACATTTGTGAAGTTGTGAAACTATTTACTTAAGTATCACCATCTAGACTCTGTTGATTGATTAATTACATCATTTTAATAATGATATTAATGGAGAGAGAGAAAAAAGGGAGAGAGGGTGATTTTGGGAGTTAAATAATTATTTTAAATAATCATGTCTATTTTATTCATAAAATTGCAAAGTGTGAAAAAAATGTAAGCATGCATTGGTGTTATTTTATTATTTATTTAGTATTATTAGATTATATTGATATTATTATTATTATTGCTATTGTTGTTTTTGTTGTTATTATGTTTGTTGTTGTTGCTGCTGCTGATGTTTTACTACCACTACTAATAGAGATTATACTAATAATAATGCCGATAGTAGTAATACTACTACTACTACTAATAATAAGCTCTAATAGGAAAAAGTTGGCATTAATGGAAGAAGACAGTTTGCCATTTTTATAATTTTGTTATATATACATTTGAAGTCAGAATTATTGGCATTATTGGAATTATTATTTTTCTCAGCCTCCTACATGCTTATGTTTAGGTTAAGTATTTTTCCATGAAAATAACTTATTTGTCACTATAAAGGTAAACATTCTGAGCCGACACACTAGAGCAGGGGTCACCAAACTTATTCCTGGAGGGCCGGTGTCCTGCAGATTTTTGTTCCAACCCTAATCAAACACACCTGAACAAGCTAATCAAGGTCTTACTTGGTATACTTGAAACATCCAGGCAGGTGCGTTGAGGCAACTGAACGCAGAGATTGGCCCTCCAGGACCGAGATTGGTGAACCCTGCACTAGAGTCAGAGAAAAATGCTAAATTTAGAAAAAAAAAATATCAAACAGCATTAGCATTTGCATCTAAACCCTTCATGTATATATATGTATGTATATATATATATATATATATATATATATATATATATATATATATATATATATATACTGTATATATGAACAGAAACTTTATTTATGCGCATGTATGAATGTGCATGTATATGTGCATGTATAGATTTTTATTCTTTTCGTCATCATGACTCATTAATGTTGCTTGAATTTACATGCGTGAGGTTACCATCGAAATGGAAGTTGCATGCCCTGTTTGGTGTCGCCATTCAAGTTAATCCACAGTGCTGCATACGAGCATTGGTTAAAGAGTTCTTTTGTTGTTCATTCATTTAGCTGTAAAACAACATTAAAAGGTAACTGTAATTGTATTTTCAATAGGAAACTGATAGTGACTGTAATAATTTTTTTAAACTTAAAAAATATTATTGAAGGGAGACAGCTTGAGAGCCACATATTTTTGGTTAAAGAGCCACATGTCTCTAGATATATATATATATATATATATATATATATATATATACTGTATATATATATATATATATATATATATTTATGTATGTATGTATGTATGTATGTATGTATGTATACACAGTTGAAGTCAGAATTATTAGCCCCCTTCAAATTTTTCCTTCTTTTTTAAAAATATTTCCCAAATAATGTTTAATGTTTAACAGAGCAAGGAAATCTTCACAGTCTGTCTGATAATATTTTGGCTTCTGGAGAAAGTGTTATTTGTTTTATTTCGGCTACAATACAAGTAGTTTTTCATTTTTTTAACATCATTTTAGGGACAAAATTATTAGCCCCTTTAAGCTATATTTTTTCTCGATAGTCTACAGAACAAACCATCCTTATACAATAACTTACCTAATTACCCTAACCTGCCTAGTTAAACTTATTAACCTAGATAATCCTGTAAATGTCACTTTAAGCTGTATATACAGTAGGTGTCTTGAAAAATATCTAGTTAAATATTATTTACTGTCATCATGGCAAAGATAAAATAAACCAGTTATTAGAAATGAGTTATTAAAACTATTATGTTTAGAAATGTGTTGAAAAAAATCTCTCCATTAAACATAAATTGGGGAAAAAATAAACATGCGGTCTAATAATTCAGGGGGGTTAATAATTCTGACTTCAACAGTATATAACTTCAGAATTGTTATTTACTTTATTTTCCACTTATTTAAATGTCATTCTGTGTTCTTGTGCAAGTTTTGTACCCTGAGCTCCTGAAAAAACAAACAAAAAAAATCCTTGTGTGTTATTCCCTGGCAAATAAAGCTCATTTTGATTCTGACTCCTGCTAATGGCTGTCACTGTAATGACTGTATTTACAGGCTGTTCATCACACCACTGATTCTGATGCCAAAGAAGAAGACTCAGAGTCAAAAGAGGCTCAGAAACTGGGAAAACTTCTTTATACCCTTGACTACAACTTCACTGACAGCACGGTAGGAATACAAATGAATCCCCAGCATTAATTCAGTCATCGATAATATCCATATTAATGAGAGAAACTTGCTTAGGCATTAGAACGTCACACAGTATATCTTTATTTTAGCACTAAAACAGTGTATTATTGGAATAATAATGACCTTCTGTCTGGTTCAGTTAATTGTAGGTGTGATTCGGGCTGAAGGGCTTGCTGCTATGGACATGAGTGGCACTTCAGATCCATACGTTAAAGTTTACCTCCTCCCCGACAAGAAAAAAAAGTTTGAGACTAAAGTTCATCGCAAAACACTCGAGCCGACTTTTAATGAACACTTCACCTTTAAGGTACGTCTAAAAACACACTTGGATTATATTTTATTTATGGAAAGAATAAATATTAAAAAGGCACAGTGGCGCAGTGGTTAGCACTTTCGCCTTACATCAAGAAGGTTGCTGGTTCGAGTCCCTTCTGGGTCAGTTGGAATTTCTGTGTGGAGTTTGCATGTTCTCCCCGTGTTGGTGTGAGTTTCCTCCGGGTGTTCCGGTTTCCCCCACAAGCCCAAAAACATGCGCTATAGGTGAATTGTGTAAACAAAATTGTCCGTAGTGTATGAGTGTGTGTGTGAATGCAAGAGTGTATGGGTGTTTCCCAGTATTAGGTTGCGGAATAACTAAATCCGCTACTGATAAAGTTTATATAGGCTACTAGAAGATTGAGTGTATGTAAGTACATAGTGTGGAGACAGTTTGCGTGAGATTCTGATGTTGATTTTACAGGTACCGTATGCAGAGCTCGGAGGGAAGACGCTGGTCATGACGGTGTACGATTTCGACCGTTTCTCCAAGCACGATGCGATCGGGGATGTGAGGCTGCAGATGAATAAGGTGGACTTCAGCCATCTTACTGAGGAGTGGAGAGACCTGCAGAAAGCTGAGAAAGAGGAGGTATGAGTGTTTTACCCCCCTGAGGTTTCACAACTGAATTGAGTTCTGGAATAGCACAAAACAATGGGATTTAATCAGTGCAAAACATCACAGTTTTGATTTGCATTTACGTAAAAGACTATTTTGTTTGTTTTTATTACTATAAACTACTGATGGCATTTCTACCACGTTTTTAAAGCATAAAATAAAAATGTTTTTTTCCATGTTCATGCTTATATCTGACTGAATCACAACAAATGAAAGCATTTGTAAAAAAATGTATTAGTATTTTTAATTGAAATATATATATATATATATATATATATATATATATATATATATATATATATATATATATATATATATATTTTTATCTCAAACCTTTATAGAATAAAACAAACAAAAACATTTTACTGGTTCCTAATAAATCTAGCAACTCATTTTTTGTAATAGCTGAAAATAAATCACAGCAAAAGCAAAACCTTTTTAATTTTTTTGCGATGATTACAGAACACAATAATTAATTAGTAGTTAATAAGTTTAAAATATAATACTTATTAAGGGTGCTAATAATGTTAACCTTAAAATGTTATATGTGAAAAATTAAGAACTGCTTTTATTGAAGCCAAACTAAAAGAAATGAGACTTTCTCAAGAGGGGAAAAAATCTAAATCAATTTGGAAATGTATAAAATTTCATTGGAGAGGTAATAGTTTTGCCTTCATTTGTAAATATATGTTATGTACACTCACCGGCCACTTTATTAGGTACACCTGTCTAACGCAAATTTCTAATTGGCCAATCACATGGCAGCAACTCATGGCATGTAGACATGGTCAAGACGTTCTGCTGCAGTTTAAACCAACCTTCAGAATGGGGAAGAAAGGTGATTCAAGTGACTTTAACCGTGACATGGTTGTTGGTGCCAGACGGGCTGTTCTGAGTATTTCAGAAACTGCTGATCTACTGGATTTTTTTATGCACAACCATCTCTAGGGTTTACAGAGAATGGTCTGAAAATTTGAAAATATCCAGTGAGCGCCAGTTCTGTGGGCACAAATGCCTTGTTGATGCCAGAGGTCAGAGGAGAATGACCAGACTGGTTTCAGCTGATAGAAAGACAACAATAACTCAAATAATCACTCATTACAACTGAGGTCTGCTGAAGAGCATCTCTGAACACACAAAACACGTCCAACCTTGAGGTGAATGGGCTACAGCAGCAGAAGACTATACCAGTGCCACCTCTGTTAGCTAAGAACATGAAATTGGGGCTACAATTCACACAGAGTCACCAAAACTGGACAAAAGAAGATTGAAAAAACGTTGCCTGGTCTGATGAGTCTCCATTTCTGCTGTGACATTCAGATGGTAGGGTCAGAATTTGGCATCAACAACAAGAAAGCATGGATCCATCCTGCCTTGTATCAACGGACCAGGGTGCTGGTGGTGGTGTAATGGTGTGAGGAATATTTTCTTGGCTCACCTTGGGCCCATTAGTACCAATTGAGCATCGTATCATCACCACAGCCTACCTGAGTATTGTTGCTGACCATGTCCATCCCCTTATGATCACAGTGTACCCATCGTGAATCATCTCAGACTGCTTTCTTGAACATGACAATGAGTCTACTGTACTTAAATGGCCACCACAGTCACCAGATCTCAATCCAATAGAGCACCTTTGGGATGTGGTGGAACGAGAAGTTTGCATCATGGATGTGCAGCCGACAAATCTGCAGTAACTGCGTGATGCCATCATCTCAATATGGAGCAAAATCTCTGAGGAATATTTCCAGTAGCTTGTTAAATCTATGCCATGAAGGATTAAGGCAGTTCTGAAAGCAAAAGGGGGTCCAACACGGTCATAGTAACGTGTTCCTAATAAAGTGGCTGGTGAGTGTGTATTCATATACTGCGCATATGTCTTGTTTAATCTGTCGTCTGTTAAATTATTCAGTGTTGATTTCAGAATGAAGACTGCAATAATAACTGACATTTTGTTGTTGACTCAACAGCAAGAGCGGTTAGGTGATATTTGCTTGTCTCTGCGCTACGTACCTACGGCTGGAAAGCTGACCGTGGTCGTTCTGGAGGCCAAAAACCTCAAAAAGATGGATGTGGGTGGACTCTCGGGTGAGTGGAGAAGTCAAGTACAGACACATTTCACATCACAGTGATGAAACATCTCTCTCATTTTTTCTGATGCTATATTTCTGCTCTACAGACCCGTATGTGAAAATCCACTTGATGCAGAACGGCAAAAGACTGAAGAAAAAGAAAACCACGATTAAGAAGAACACACTGAACCCATATTACAACGAATCATTCAGCTTTGAAGTGCCATCTGAGCAGATTCAGGTACAGATCTAATTTTATTTTAAAGGATCTCATTATGCTGCTCTTTTACAAAGTGTTATATACACCACGGTTCAAAAGGTTGGGTCAGTATGATTTTTAAGGGTTTTAAAATAAGCTTCTCCTCCCCGAGGCTGCATTTATTTAATCAAAAATTCTGTACAAATTGTAAAATAGTGAAATGTTCTTGCACTATAAAATAACTGTTCAAAATTAGTTTATCATTTAATTGAATCATTTATCCCAGTGATTTTAATGGTGAATTTTCAGCTTCATTACTCCAGTCTTCAGAGTCACATGATCCTTCAAAAATCACTTATATTAATTGTATATTAATATAATATATTATATATGTACAGCTCAGGAACAGAGCAGCGCCACTGGTCAGACATGCTGGCCAATCCAAGAAGACCCATCGCCCAATGGCACGCGCTTAAACCTGAAGAGGATGTGGACGCCGAACTGATAAAGAAGTGAAGCTGTGCGTAAAAGAGCATTCGTATATGAGTCAAAGATGAGTTTTTCATAGAATATGCTCAGATTTCTTTTTTTTAGAGCAAAAAAATTAAATGCCTACCATAGATTTTTATCATGACTTTAAGTTTATACTAAAGTGTTTATTAAGAACAATTTGATGACACTTTAAAATATTTGATTTAAGGATCACTGAAGTATGTATTAATCGTCATTTTAAAGCTCTAAATTTTAAATATTTTTTTTTTTTCATATGCCCACATGTTTCTAAAAGCATAATAAATCATAGTATGATTTAAATAAGTATAACATTAAAAGATATTAAAGGTGATACATATAGATTTATTATTGATAAAACTTATTTTGTCAATTGTTCACTTGATGCAGACATAAAAATGACACATCTTTAACCCATATATAAATATTGCATTGCATTCCATCTGTGACTTTTGTGTGTATATGTATGCATGTTTGTATATGTAAAATATCAGCTCTAAGCAACATTAATTATCAGAATTACAAAAATGTTCATTAAATAATGTATTAAAGTTGTAAAACCTATTATTAAAGAAACACAAAAAGCATTCATAATGCAATATTTCTGAGTAAAATATTATATTCAGGAGTAGATAATGCAGACCAAGGTATACAAAAGAAGAATATTATTGGGTATTATTTGTGAATAACTATTTAGAGAAGTAATTCCAAATGTGGAAATTTTGATATATAGAAAAAAGAAAAATAATCTATTTAGGGGGTGTTTACTTAAGTTTTCACAAAAAAAAAAACAACTAATGTTTGTATGTATTTGGGCCATTAATTTACATGAAAATTGCATTTTTGGGGGCATTAAAGTACAAACAATTGAAAATGGGTTTTAAAGTGTGTAAAAAAAAAAAAATCTATTCAGGGTTCAACGGCAAGGATATTTTCTACAGGCCCGATTGGATCAGTGGTTCAGATTTTTACTTGCCCTGGCAAAATTTTCACTGGCCCCACTAAAAAACAAACAAACAAACAAACAAAAGTTAATAACTATTTCTTAGCCACATATTTTAAATAATGTGTCAAAATAACATCTGTGAATCTAAATATTTACAAAATGTTAAAATATTTAGCAGGAAAATATAGCAGCATGTAAAAAGTGCAAAGGTGGTTGACTTAAAAATGATGGCAAACAATGCAAAAAAATAAATAAAAAGTTTGTCGTGTTGTACCTATGTAAATGTCTGATTCCACAACGTTAGAAACAGACGTTTTCTTTTAACCCCATAATTTGATGTTGTTGTGTTGTTGGTTTGACAAATAGTCGTAGGGAAATAAAAATTTTGTGACAGTGCAGAACTGGCCTGATTGGGCCGATAACGATTCTCTCTACTGTCCCGAACATCTCTCACGCTGGCCCCAGGCCTTATTGTTGAGCCCTGCTATTACTGTCTATGTGTTTAGTATAAAAACTAAAATTTGTGAAAAGCTGTGGAAAATGATCAGGCAAAGCTGTTTAAAAACACAAAGATTTTTAAGTACATCATTGCCATGAAAATGTACTCACCAATGAATGTGATCACCAATGAATTAGCATATAAGACCCATAACATCTACTTTAAAAAATATCTTCAAGACAATTTAATAGCAATCACACAATAGTACATAAATACGCAGTATAAATACACCAAACCATTGATCCTAACAAATGACATGCACATGTATAGATGTATATAAAATGCACATTAAATATAACAATGTATGATGTATTGTTTGGGATTCAAACCAAAAACATGCGTGGTTGGATATATATATTGTACATAAAAGTTATACAAAGTTAGTGTAAATGTCTTGATGGACAGTTCAAATCCTCACAAAAGACATGCACATGTATAGATGTATATAAAATGCACATTAAATATTACTTCTAAACAATGTATGATGTATTGTTTAGGATTTCCTGCTGTGTTGTTTTAATTTTCCAATATCACTGTTAATCTATATACTATATAAAGTATATAAAAGTGTCATGACGGACAGTTCAAAGGCTGAAATGTTCATTTTCCAGCAGTGGATCTGTATGTTCGTCTGATTTCTAAGACACACAGAGATCAGATATTGCATTAAGCATGTAATGACCATTAAAAGTGCATTCATAATAGTGTATTGTGGAGTATGAAGGTGTTGTACCTGTGATACGCTGATGTAGTCCAGTCTATTGGTTGTGCTGAAGGACTTCAAACCTTTCCAGATAAGAAAGACTGTATATGTGGCAGCAAACATACACTGGATGATGGAAATGATACCACTGCCCTTCAGCACATACACACCAATGCGCTGGAAGAGTTGGACAGAGACAGTTAGTTTCGTTTATGAATTCTAGTGGTTTTTCTTGCATTTAATTTTATTTGACTTTACTCACCTGCTGTGGAGTGGCATGACCAAGTTGTGAGGACTTTATAAAGAAGGTGGTGAAGGAACAAATTGCAAACAGCAGGCTGAAGATGTTCAGTCCCAACAGAGTTATGACCTGACAAGGTATATACAGGAATCAGAGAATGACATTCAATACCTTTTAAGACCTTTTTAAGACTCTTTTCATACATTTTAAAATCGCCACTTTAGGTTTTGGCCGGTAACATTGGTGTTACTGTAACTTGCAGTATATTTACTAAATACTGATTGTATGAAACTAATCCTAAACTAAAACATTAATCATATGCTGAATAAAAATGCTAATCCAGCAGGTGGTGCCTAGAACAGCAGGAATAACCTTGCCTTAATAGTCACTGCAGTAGTCTAACAAAATGCATCCCAAGATTTGTAATTAAATTCAGGGAAACTTTGGCATAAGTTTGTATGCGTGTAATTTCTAAATTTCTAAAAATTGATTTATCAACTTTTAAAGGGCACCTATGAAGAAAATCATCTTTTGTAAGTTGTTTGGACAACTGTGAGTAGGTATAGTGTGTCCACAGTGAAGTGATATAAACACAGTAAGTCTCTTTTTTTAAATTTCCTGACGTTGAAATAGGACCCAAATCCCTGTGATTTTGAGGCCCACTGCAACGTGATGTAGGAGTGCGGTTTTCCCACCCACCGAAGTTGACAGACGGCATGTTTCTATCAGAGGTGGATAGTAACGAAATACTTTGTTACATTTACTTGAGTAAAATTATTGGGTAACAGGTACTTTTTGCAAATTGCCGCATTGGAGAGGTTGTGTCGGGAGATGTTGCACGTGTTATTTTACTAGATATATTTCATGTTACTAGTATCCAGCTTAAAGCCTCATTTAAAGGGTTAACCAGATTAATTCGACAAGTTAGGGTATAATAAGGCACCTTAAAATTGCTTTCAAAAACATTAAAAACTGCTTTTATTGTAATCGAACAAAACAAGTAAGATTTTCTCTAGAAGAAAAAATATCATACAAAATACTGTAAAAAAAATCCTTGCTTTGTTAAACATAATTTGGTAAATATTTGAAAAAAAAAAGGTCGAATAATTTAGACTTCAACTATATATATATATATATATATATATATATATATATATATATATATAAATATATATACGTATATATAAATATATATATGTATATATATATATGTATATACATATACATACATACATACATATATATACATACATACATACACACACACACGCACGCACGCACGCACGCACGCACGCACGCACGCACGCACGCACGCACGCACGCACACACACACACACACACATATAATCATTTATATAGTGCACCAAAAATATTTTCAGACATAGTTTCAGAATCATTTGATGACAATAAAACACTTTTTAGAATCATAGTTCATCCAAAATACTAATGACCTGACACTATACTATATATAAATGTTTTGCAGTAAAAAATACAGTACACCATTTTCTGTGATTTTAATATTGCATTTTTAAGTACATAAGTTCAGAATAAGCATTTATTAAATTTTTACATAAAAATACATAATGTAACACTGAACGATGATGAAAGATTATTCACTCAAAAAAGATTTTGCTGCTTGTTCAGACTACTTATTTAAAATAAGGTGAAACTATCTTGAGTGTTTTTTTTTTGGAAGTTTTTTTTTGTGTGTTTCTAACATATTCTGGTGTTTTATTTACATTTATTATTTGAAAAACATAATCAGACATTGACTAATATTTTAAAACAAAATACTTCATGGAAAGATGTTTGAATGGTATGAGTTTAATATAAAGCACTTAAACAAGTGAATGCTGAGTCCATGTACGTGTAACTGCTTTTAATTTAACTGGGGTTAACAATTAATCCTTAGAATTCAGATACTGAGGGTTCATACTACACAATAATAAACCCTGGGTTCACTTCTTTATTTGCATATTTGCCGTGACAGTGTCTTTGATTGGACAAGTACAGCATGTACTATCATAGCTAAAATCTTGTAGTTCAGATTTCTTGGTTTATTGGGTCTACACCAAATGAAGAAACAAAGGTTCACTTAAAGTTCACAACAACATTTTATGACAGATTCTAAAGATACGAAACACGGAAAAAGCTATTCATGAAATATATTTGCCAACAAAACTATATAAGAAGTATATGTGAAATATAGTATGTACATTATCCCTTTCTTAATAGAGGTTTTCTATCAACTATCAACATAGACAAATGTCATTAAAAAAAGACTTACTTTGATTCTTTTAGGTTTCCTCTGGACGTCCATTGCAAGTGACCCAGTGGCTATAAACTGGGACATAAACAACTAATTATTAGCTTATCCAGCATTCTTATTTTAGGACAAATTTATGAACCAGATATAATAATTGAAGCACTTACAAAGAGGCCACACCATATTGGAGCCGTCATAGAAGCAGAACAGGAGAAAGTCAGACAAGAGTAAGATAAGGTGCAAAAAATACAGGAGACAGCACTGAAAATCTGAATAACCTAAGAGAGAAACACACATAAGCATCAAGTATTTTCTGCCAACTATTAGTCAAAATAGAAATTAAATAAAATTAT